GAGAGAGAGAATCTTCCATCTGCTGGTTCACTCCTCAAATGGCTGCAACCGTTGGAGCTGGGCTGAAGCCAGGAGCTTCTCCCAGGTCTCCCATGTGGGTGGCAGGGGTCCAAGCCCTTGTGCCATCTTCTACTGCTTTCCCAGGCCTGTTAGCAAAGAGCTGGATCAAAAGTGGAGCGACTGGGACTCAAACCGGCGCAGTATGGGGTGCAGGTGCTGCAGGTAGCGGCGTAACCCACTATGCCGCAATGGCACCCCTCCAGTGCATTTTAGAGATGAAGACAGTGAGTCCCCAAAGGTCAAGTCAGAGTCACCAGGTGGTTGCCCCAGGTCGGGAAGAGAGTCAGGGAAAGATCCAGGCAGTGTATACAGAAGTCACTCGGAAGACGCCCTGTCTGTCCAGGACACTGCCTCGATTTCATTGAGCTGATTTCTTCCCGACCTGGAGCCGCCTCCTCACTGAGGGCGATTTCCGCAGGCTTCCTTAGTCCCTGGCAGCCGGAGGGGCCTCCAGCTCTATGTTCCAGGTTGGGGGAGAGGCGAGGCACAGCTGTGAAGACCGCAGCTGCAGCAGAGGGGTGGGCAGGGAAGGGGCTGCCTGCCCTAGTAGGACTGGCGGTGGGTTCCCAAATAGCCCCCGATTGGCTGGCTGACAGGGGGGCGGGTCTCTGATCAGCCCAGTGAGCTCCCGGGCCCTAGGAGGCTGGACAAGCTCCCCGCTGCCTCATCCCCTTGGTCAACCAGCAGGGGGCTCGGGAGGAAGAGCCCCGGGCCAGGGTGGAGCACGCTGGCCTGTGAGCTCCAGTGCCGACCTGCAGGCCTAGTGTAGACCAGTGGTTGGGAATGCAGGTGTCGCGGCCAGGACACCCGGGTTCACGCGCCAGTTTCCAGCGACCTCAGCTTCATCTCTCAGAGCCTCAGTTTTCTGATCAGTAAAATGGGGGAAGAATGGTACCACCCAAAGAATTCTGGAAGCATTCAACAAGCGAATCATTTAGACAAGCCTGGCGCACAGTAAGTGCTCAGTATTTATTATTAGGACACTTATTATTTTAGTAGTAGGAAAGAGCATCTGTCTGGGTTGTAAGAACATCTCTGGCTCACGGGGGGAAAGGGGGGGCTGGAGGAGAAGTTTGGTTTTGCAGGAGGAGCCTGATGATAGAATTGAAAATTTGGGCAAACATTCTGTGCTGTGACTTGCAACTTGACTGCTCTCCCTGAAGGATATGAGTTGGCAAGGCCCTTGCACAGCAGTGGAGCATCCTTGGCTCCTGGGAGCTTGGGGCTTTCTTCTCAGCCTAGAGGGTGACCAAGCCCAGGGCAGCATCTGGCTGGCTGATTGGACAAACCTGGTGGCTCAGGCCTTGGTGCACAGAAGGTTCCTTGGGCTGAGTCTCAGGGTCCCGAGTGGTCTGGAGTTTCTTGCGTCCAGCCTGTCCTTGGGGACTGCATTGGAGGGGAGGAGGAAAGAGAGGCCTCGGGGTGTGGCGGGGGAGAGGGGCGCGTGGAGAAAGCTGCTTGCCCGTCCTGTTTGCTGAGCTGCACTGAGTTATGACTAAATGCTGAGATCTGGCTTCAGGCAATTGCCTAAATCATTTAGGGGTTGACAAGGAGGGGAGGGAGGGGACCTGCAGAGCTGGGGGGGGGGGGGCGGATGTTCTTGTAATTCTTCAGTCTGAGGTACATTAAGGAGCCATAAGCCATGTCGAGAGCTTGAATTACATTAGAGAGATTATCCTGTTACAGTTCATAATCCTGGATAATATACCGTCGTGGAGCACACCTGCCCGTGATAAATCTTGCCCTGTAACGGCCTGACCCTGGGGACCTCGGCACTCCGGGGCAGCTGCTGGGGGCTGTCGGAGTGGACAGCGCCTAGGCAGAGGCTCCGTGGGCCTCACTGTCCTCCTGGCTCATCTTTGTCCAGAGGGAGTGGACGTGGCTGGCAGCTTTACCTCTCTTCATCTCTGTCTAGGGTGCTCAGCTCCCCACGGCCCTTCCGACTTCAGCTCCCACCCTTGCCCCCGCTTCCTGCTCTGGTGGGGGCAGGTCGCTTGTTTTCCTGCCTCTAGCATCTCCTCTCTCTGGATGCCTTTCCCTTAACCTCTCCTAACCCAGCCTGGCGTGTTATAGCCTATGGACAGCCCACACGGACACCACCACTCCCCTCCACCCCACCACTCAGCTCCAGCCCATGGCGCTGACCCTCCACTGTGGATTGGGTGTGTCTCCTGCTAGCCGCCACAGCACTGGCAAACCTTTCCCGAGTCTCTGTCTCCCTGGCCTGACTGCAAGTACCCTGACATCAGAGCCCACAGCTACTGCCGCCGCACCTGGCACAAACAGGTGCGACTACTTGACCACGATCGCACAGCTCGTGGCGGCAGAATCCGGATTCGAACCCCAGTCATTGGGCTCTGGGGGCTGTGGCCACCACAGAGCCCTGTCTCTCCGACTTCAGAGCTCGGTCCTGTGTCCCCTGGGAGGCTTGTCCCTCTCTCTGTGAGACCGTGTGGCCTTCCCAAGTTGCACTTGCCTGACCATGGGGAACGCAATGAGCCAAAGGGAGGACTCTCTCCCGGTGTACCATGGGGGACGGCTCCTGAGCCTCAGGGTTCATCTTCAGCTTTTTAAAAAAATGTACCCTAATACACTGCTTTTTTCATTTTAAAAAAGTTTTTATTTATTTATTTGAGAGGTAGAGTTACAGAGAGGGGAGAGACAGAGAAAAAGGTCGTTCATCTGTTGGTTCACTCCCCAGATGGCAGCAATGGCCAGAGCTGGGCCAATCCGAAGCCAGGAAGGAGTTTTCTCTGGGTCTTCCACGAGGGTGCAGGGGCTCAAGGACTTGATCCATCTTCTACTGTTTTCCCAGGCCATGGCAGAGAGCTGGATCGGAAGTGGAGCAGCTGGGACTCGGTGGAGGCTTAGCCACTATGCCACAGCACCAGGCCCCCATCCTCAGCTTTTTAAAGAGGCCCTGTCCACCGAGCAACTTCATTAAACACCCCCGCTGACTCTTTCTCTGCCCCAGCACCTTCTCTTCAGCCTATTGCCCAGTTCCCAGCTCCCAGGAGACCCAGGGGTATCTGGGTGCCTGCCACATCCCTGCTGCCTCGCTGAGTGACATCCAAATCTCCTGTGCTTCAGACTTGGCTTTGCCCCTCCCACATCCCTCCCCTTATCACAGGGACCTGTGCGTCTCTACCTGGGGACGTGCAGAGGGCACCTTTCTGTACTCCCTGAGGCTAGCTGCACTCCCTAGCCTTTAGCTGACCCAAGCCATTCATGATCTTTTCCAAACAGGTTCTACTACCTCACGGCAGGTGCACTGGGTGCTCAGCACCGGGCTATGCCTTTACCTGATTTAACTCATGAGCCCATGCCAGTCTGAAGAGATGGGTTTTATATCATTTCTATTTTGTAGACGGGACAGCTGAGGCTCAGAGGAGTGCCTCATGTTCCACGCCTGGCCAAGGGCAGAGCTGGCATTGAGACTCCTGGGCTTAACCCTTGAGGTTGCACTGCCTCTTACGGCAAGTGCAGGTGCCCAGGCTGTCTCTGCAGCTCCACACCACCCGGCCTAACCTTCTCCATCCCTTCTCACTGAGATAGCCCTCTTCCAGAACCCTCCCTACCCTTCTGTTGCCACGTTCTAGAACCATCTTGCGGCCCAGGCTCCCCCATGCTTCACGGATTCATCCCCTCTCCATGCCCCTCCCATCACTCATCCTGAGGCAGGAACCACAGCAGTCTGGTTGTCACCCATTCGTAACTCCCATCATTCATCCGTGGAACCCTGGAGTGTCAGGGCTGGAAGGGGGCCTGGAAGGTGGTCTTTTCTAGTGATTTTCAAACCAAACATAGTTTTCAAAGAAAAGCTTCTATGGAAGCTCTATAGAGAAATGAGATCAGCAAGGGGAGGTGGTGTCCTGGCTCCTGTCTCAGTGCAACCCCTCCCACTGCAATCCCCTGCCCTGTCCTCTCCGTGGAAGCTGAGAACTAGCTGCCCTCTCGTTGTGCCCGTGGTGTACTGTGGCTTGCCGAGCTTCAGAGAGGAAGGGTAGCCCTGCTGGTCCAGGGCTGCTCCCAGCTCCCCCCCGCTCCCCGCCTCAAGAGTGCTGTCCTTAGTCACCAACCCCTGGCTCACTGGGGCCACACCCCTCCTCTCCCAGCTCTGAGTCCTTAGACCTGGACCTCAACCTCAGCTCACAACTCACAAAGCTACGCGACCTGGGGCAAGGAAATCGCACAGTCCAAAGCCCTCCACTTCCTCCTCTGAAGATGGGAATGAAACAAGTGGTGGCACAGTGGTGGGGCACAGTGGTGGGCACAGTGGTGGGGCACAGTGGTGGGGCACAGTGGTGGGAACCAGTGGCTGCCTCTCTCCTCTTCACCTCCCCGCCTGCCCTGCTGTGGGCTGACCAGAATCAGCTGGGCGGTTCTTCTGCTGGCCTCCTCTGTAGCTGCACTTGGTGGGGGGCAGGCTGTGGTCACAGGGAAGCGATGGAGGTGTTTGGATGGCTGGGCCTCTTGCTTTCCTGGAACCTCAGTGCCCTGCTCCTCACGTGATCTTTCCTGGGCTCCTCAGAGATCTCAGATGCACAAACATGGGAGCTTCCAGGCCTTCTTCAGGCTGGGACCCAGCAGAGGGGCATAGTCTCCCTTCTGTGGCATTTTGTTGGCTGAAAATTCAGGGGGAGGGAAATAAACTGCACTTCTCAGTGGGGTATGTCATGGTTTGAATATTTGTGCTTTGGTCCTCGTAAAGTCTGGTGTTTGTGGTCCTAAGAGGGTAGAGGCTTACTCCAGTGACAGCATCTTTGGGAAGTGACTGTGTTGGGTTAAGTCTTTAGGGCAGAGCCCAAGTGGCTGAATCCCGATGGCTTTATGAGGAGAGGGAGGCCAAAGACCTGTCTCTTGTTGTGTCATGGACTGTGTCACCTTAGCACTCTGCCATCACCAGAACAGGACCTGTCCAAGCTTAGAGTGTGAATCTTGTGCTTGCTTTGGCAGCACATATACTAAAGATTGGAAGGATACAAAGATTAGCATGGCCCCAGTGCAAGGATGACACACAAATTCATGAAGCGTTCCATATTTTTTAGCTATGGGACTCCAAATTCCATTTTGTTGGCAGGTACTAATGCCATCTTACATGTTAAAGTGATCATATTAAGTGTCAAGAAGATCACATAAATAAGACAAGTGTCTGCTAATAACAATAGATAGAACTAAAAAGGAGAGAATGATCCAACATGGGAAGGAGGCCACACAGCAGACTCATAGAATGACAAATGCCTTAAATAGCACTCTGACCTCAGAATCAGCCCTTAAGGCATTGGATCTGGCTGGAAAGCCCATGAGAGCATTTCAGGCATGGAAAGCCAAGACACTGTGGCAAAAACTGATCTACATGAAGTATCTCTGTGAGTGAGATCCCAGTGGAAAGAAGTGGCCATCAAAGAAGGATGTACTTTTTTCTGAAGGGAGGAGAGAAACTCCACTTTGCTTATGGCCATGTCTAAATACTGATGGAGTCTATGGACTCAAAAGGCTCCCATAGCCTTGGCAGCTCATGACAAGAGCATCGGGTGATCAATAACATCATAAATAAGAGTGTCAATTATTAAATCAACAACAGAAGACACTGTGCATTTGCTCCCCATGTAGGAACTCTGTCCTTAATGTGTTGCACTATGCAAATTAACGGTGAAACTAGTACTCAAACAGTACTTTATACTTTGTGTATCTGTGTGGGTGCAAACTGTTAAAATCTTTACTTAGTATAGAGTTGATCTTCTATATATCAAGATAAGTAAAAAAGAATCTTAATGAAGAATGGGATGGGAGAGGGAGTAGGAGGTGGGACGGTTTAGGGGTGGGAGGGAAGGTATGGGGGGAAAGACTGCTATATTCCAAAAGATGTACCTATCAAATTTATATTTATTAAATAAAAGCTTAAAAAAAGGACTATGAATCTCCATGAGCCAATGTAGACTGCCTTCCCTGAAAAGGTTGAACTAATTCAGGTTTTCTGTTATAGTAATGAAAAGCCGGCTGCTACAAGGAATGACCAGTTGTTTTATCATCTTTAACCCTCTCAACTCTCTGTGAGCTTGGGCAGGAAGATTCCTTGATCACTGCAGTTTTCCAGCTGTGCTCATCTGTGAGGCCTAAACCCAGGGGAAGCCCTTGGAATAGTGCCTGGTACACGGTCAGCCCTCCCATGTTAGCTGGTGGTATTTTTATTTCTATTGTACACGCCTAGCACAGTGCTGAGTGGCTGCTGGGGGTGGTAACTCTCCAAGAGGAGTGGCAAACACAGTGTATACTCCTGATAATAAATAATCTAGTTCATGAGATAAAATTAACACATGCAGAGATCAAAGTGCTAATTCAAGGCACAGTGTAATTAAGGAGCCCACAAAGGGTACAGATCACACACACCTGAGGAATTTGCAGGACAAAGAGATTGGACGAGGGCTGTGTGGCCACTGAAGCCTTCCCCAAGGGAGATGCTGCCCTGGTGGGGCAGGCTAGTGCAGTGGTTAAGAGCATGGATTCTGTCGCCAACCCCCTGTTTGTTTATTTCTTTTTTTTTTTTTTTTTAAAGATTTGTTTTATTTATTTGAAAGACAGAGTTACAGAAAGAGAGGTAGAGACAGAGAGAGAGGTCTTCCATCCACTGGTTCACTCCCCAATTGGCCGCAATGGCCAGAGCTGCGCAGATCCGAAGCCAGGAGCCAGGAGCTTCTTCTGGATCTCCCATGCAGGTGCAGGGGCCTAAGGACTTGGGCCATTGTCTACTGCTATCCCAGGCCACAGCAGAGAGCTGGATCGGAAGTGGAGCAGCAGGGATTAGAACCAGCACCCATATGGTATGCCAGCGCTTCAGGCCAGGGCTTCAACCCACTGCGCCATAGCGCCGGTACCCTGTTTGTTTTTAAGATTGACTTATTTATTTGAAAGGTGGAGTGCCAGAGACAAAGGGAGGGAGGGAGGGAAGGAGGGAGAGAGAGGGAGAGCAGGAGAGAGAGAGAGAGAGGGAGAGATTCCATCTGCTGATTCTCTCTCCATTTTCACTCCCCAGCTGGGAGCCTGGCACTCCATCTGAGGCTCCCACATTGATGGCCGGGGCCCAAGGTCTTGGACCATCTTCTGCTGCTTTCCCAGGTGCATTAGCAGGGAGCTGGATTAGAAGTGGAGGAGCCAGGATTCTAGCCAGTGCTCATACGGGATGGCAGCACAGCAATCGGTGGCTTTACCTGTAGTACCGTGACTCTGGCCTCCAGACTCCCTGTTTTTGAGTCTTAGCTCTACCACTCTCTAGACGTGCTTCTGCGACCTTAGCTAGTTACGTAGCTTCTCTTAGCCTCCGTTTCCTTTCTGCGTGTCTATCTCGTAAGACTCCACTGGAGAATAACTGATTTATTTCCTGCAAGGGACTGCAATGGTGTTGGACATGCGGTAAAGACTCGGAAAGCTGAGTTGACCTCATAGTCCTACAGCGAGACTTCAGCTGGTGGCGGGGAAAGACAGCGTCCCACGAGATGGTGGCAGCAAGCATGGCGTGGGAAGGCAGTGTGCCGTGCTCAGGGACACGCGAGTGTGACTTCCCTTAGAGGGAGATGTTCCTGGGGACATCCCGCGTGCGCAGCAGGAGCCGAGGCAGAGAGGAAGAGAGGAGGGGGAGGGGAAGACGGCAGGAGCCCAGCCAGAGCAGCACACACTTGGACCTTATGGCAAGGGGAGCCACTGCCAGCTCTAACAAGGGAGGGGCGCCTTCTGGACTCTGTCTTGGGAAGAGATCCCTGGTGGGGATGGGAAGGAAAAAAGTACGTGGATTAAAGGCAGGGAGAGGGCTCGGGGGCCCTTGCCACAGCCCAAGTCCCCGGCAGGGAGCTGTTGCAGCACGGTGCGAGCCCAGGGAGGGGACAGGGCCCTGCAGCCTGTGCTAGGAATGGCTGCAGGCTCCGGGGTACCCCTGCCTCCTGGCCGTGCCACCCACCGCGGCTGGCTTCTGCCCTGGCTGCCTCCCTTCCGGGCCGGGTTGGAAGGCTGAGCTGGGGGAGAGGCCGAGCACCAGGGAAGCCCAGGACTGGCAGCACCCTCAGAGAACGCACTGGATCGCTCCCGGTCACCCAGACTCAAAGGGGGCAATTCTGGGAGCTTGGCTGTGGCCCAGAGCGGCAGACTGTGAAAAGGGACGGGCTCTGTGTGTGTGTGTGAGCATGTGTGTGTGTGACAAAGAGGGAAGGGGGGACCATATGTCCGTTTTCTTTGAGGAACAGCTGACTCCTCCAGGGGGTGAGTGCGTCGGGTAGGAGCGGCAAGTGGAGTAACAGGGTCAGGCCCACATTGGCAAACAAATGTCCCAGGGGCCGGGCCCTGTTGGGGACTGTTTTTCTTATTTCCCAGATCCGTTCCTTCTCTCTCTCTCTCTCTCTCTCTCTCTTTCTCTCTCTCTCTCTCCTTTGCCATGCTTTCTTTCTCTCTTGCTCACCCTTGACCCGATCAGTTCCTCTGTCTGGGGGTCCCCCTCACCGTGAGGATGCCCTCCTCCTGCCCCAGCCAGCCCTGGGGCCTCCCCTGGGCCCACACCCAACCCTCATGGCCTCTGAGAAACACTTGGGGGCAAGTCAACGCCGGAGTGCCTCCTGCAGAGCCCCCGATGGGGAGGAATGAAGGTCAAGGCCACCGCTTGGCCACGGCACTCTTTGAGTGCCAAGGCCTCTTCTCTGCTGTCCGCCTTTCTGGTGAGAAAAGCAGAGAAATTGGAGTCAGAGGGGCCTGGGTTCAAATTCCAGCCCAACCCATTACAGGCTGTGGGATTGGTAGCAAGCCGCTCGCTCATCCTGTGACAAAGACCCTAGTGACATCCGTTGCCAGTGAGCGGGCAGAATTGACGGGGGTGAGGGGGGGCGGGGGTGGGGGTGGGGGTGGGGCTGTGGGGAGGTGGGATGAGTCTCAGTGCCCAGCAAAAGCACGGTCTTTTTGTTTTCCCTCGGGCTTCTGTTCCCTTACCCCTTTTCACCTTCGTTCAGGGTAGAACTCCGCACCCAGCTTTCGCTGTGCTGGAGCCACAGCAGAGAGGAAGAGAAAGAGGCAGGAGCCCTGCTCCGGCTCCCAGGGCAGCCCCACCCCTGCCTCAGCCGGTCTGTATCCTGCAGGAAGTGGGGCGTGACCCCCTAGACCTGCGCTTTGGAACCTGTGATCTGCAGGTGCCGTGTGCGTGCCCGTGTGTGGTGCGTGCACGCTCGTGAGCCCGTGCGCATGCGCGGGTGTGAGTGGGGCGCCCGAGTCCCCCCGGCAGAATCTCGGCGGCCCCTCGCCACTCCCTCTTTTCTTCACCTTCTCGTCTCCCTCGCCGTCACCCCTCTCCCCGGGCTCCCCCTGCGGCTTGCCAGCTGCCAGCACATGACATCTCCTTTCATGTTTGGGGCTGAGCGCGGCTTTGAATGTTCGTTTGATTCCGTTAAGATAATAGCTGGTTCACTGTCAGATGCAGACTGATCAGTTAAAACCTTAATCACTGCCTGTCTCCTCACACGGCACTTATTTTTTAAGAGATTAATCCCCTCAGCCCTGCTCTAGCTCACATTGGGCTTGGAAAATAAAAAAAATAAATAAATAAAAAAGCAAGGTTTGTGTTATCCTGCTTATTATTATTGTGATGATTGTTGCCCTGTTATTCTGTGTATTAACTCCCCGTCTCTGTCCTTTCAACAGTTCCTTTCTGCCTCATCCTTCTGCTCTCCCCGTCTCCCCCTTCCTCCCCCAGCCCTGTCTCTCTCTCACACACACACACTCTGATGTGGCTCTCTTGCTGTAGTGTGAAATGCTTCCTGAGACAGATACAGAGTGTGCACAGGGGTCCTCCTTCTCTACACACACACACACGCCTGGGCCACCTGTAAACAGTGCGGCCACCGGCAAACCCGCATGGCTGGGGGCGTGGCTGCGGGCCAGTGGGCAGCGCTCCCAGCACCTGCTCTGCACCCCCTCGGACATTCAGTGCTGTGTCACCGTGGAGAAGGGCTTCAGTTTCCTCCTCTGTTACCACGTGGGATGCCTGCCGCTCATGTCGGAGGGCCTGGGTTCA